ACCCAAAGGCCTTGTATGCATGCATATAAGCATAACCAAGGGACATAAGACACTGGGGGATGGGGGAGGCTAGGGGACTGTCTTGGGCGGGGGGAAAAAATTGACACATATGTAATACCCTTTGTAATAAAAAAAAAAATTAAAAAAAAAAAAAATGGGGCTCAAAGAAAGAAAGAGTTATATTATAAATTACAGCTTACATTGGGGTAGGCCTGAATTTGTGGATTGTGAAACGTGCACCCACCACACAGGACTGTTTTAATGACAAGGTGAAACTGAGACAAGGGAGGTCCCATATATACCTCTCCAACTATCAGGTGCTTGTTATCATGACCACAGCTCATTATTTCATTGCCCAGCCACACTCTGCTCCACTATTTAATAACAGAAGGAGCACTGCAGTACGACCAAGTTTGTTCTGCTTATTTTTACTGTAAGCAAGAATATACCAACACATTACCTCCGAATTAACATATTTCATTTTCCCACATATTAGCAATGTAACCAGAGCTTTTAATTCAGCCACCCCACCTGTAGCACAAGGCATTCCCTTTAAGCTGATAAAATACATTGATTCAAGATTTTCTTTATATAGAAAGATTAGATGATTCAAGAAGGCATCATTCTCAAGAGCTACAGTTCAGACCAGTTTTGTGGCTTGCTTGTTAAACCCAATTTGATCACCCTGGGTTAGATAAACTCAATTACTTACCTGTCTTCACCTCCTGCCAGGCACCACTGAAGGACATGGATTGCTTTTTTTTTTTTTTTAAGTTATACCATTTGGGAGCAATAAAGCAATTTTCATTCATGTATTTATCACAAAAAGGATTGCAATTGCTTATCTACTATATACTAAGAATTTGCATATTTGCTTAATTTAAACTTGACAACTCTCATCTTATAGAGTAGGATACTGAGTGTCAGAAAGGTTAAGTTACATTCCAGGCACAGAGTAAATAGCAATGTCTATATCTGAATCCAAGCTGTATCTGATTTCTTTCCACTCTTCCGCTACACCATACTAATGAAAAAATTCTTGCCCAGGAATTCAAGGTCTAGAGGATAACAAGAGTCATTCCACCACTACTACCACTCTCATCTCCCGCCCACCCTCCTATCATACGCCTTTCCTCGGCCACTCACTCACAGCCATTCCCCAGCCTTGCCTTCCTTCAAACCTTTAAGAGCTATTCCCTCTGCTCAGCCTGCCCTAGCTTTCCTCCCCACTTAGAGAATTCCAACCCATCCTCTAAGTCCCAGAGGGACTTTGAAAGTTTTGCTCCCTCTCCCAAGGATTAACTGCCTCCACTCCAGCTTCTGCAACTTAGTTTATTTTCCATCATATATATATATATCACTTGAGATTGGCACTTATCTGCATGTACCTCTGTAACCACTTCTAGAATACGACCTCCTCAGCGAGGCCTACAGCTATGCATACTTGCTAACCTAAGGCACTTAGCACATCGTGCGAGTTCAACCAATGCTTGAGTTAATGAATGAATTTTATTTTAAATCAAGGTCTATATTTTACATGTGTTAGATTGTGAATGAATTCTCTGTAGGTGGGCACTGTGAAGTAAACTGGCTCTTCAGTGGTTTTAAGGATGGCCACAAAGAAGGGCTTCACTCACCCAAAGCTAGTTTTTCCACAAACCTCGGCCCCTGCTCCCGCCCCCCAGCTCAGCACAGACTCAGCCCGGGCAAGAAATGGCCCCGCCTCCCTCACTGCCAATCAACCGCTCCTCGCGCCTGCGCATACACCGCCCCCTCCAGAGCCCCGCCCCAGTCTCCGCCCCGAGGCTACCGCGGGCGGTTGGGTCTGGCGGGAACCTGCCCTCCACCGGCCCGCCCACAATGACGATCACTTACAGCTGCATTGCTAATGGCCGAGTGATCCTGGCGGATCTGGCCTGGACCGGCGGCTCCTATCAGGTACTCCTATCGTCACCTCCGCCTTGGCGCGTTCTGGTTTTGAAAGGTGATGCCTGCCGGGCCCGCCCCTCAGGAGGCGGCGCTGCCGGGAGGCCCGAATGGGCGGTGAGTGGGGACGAGAGGCCCCGCCCCCGTGCGTGGATGCCTGCGCGGCGGGGAGTCCCGGGCCGGAGCCTCTCGAGCTGCAGAACAGCGGAGCCGCACGGGCGCCGCCTAGGGGTTAGGGGTGGTGCTGCACGCGACCCCTTTGGCGGTGATAGCAGCCCTGTCCAATGCCCGAGAACCCTCCGGGTTTTCTCTCCCCTGAGGAGAAAAGATCCACACGCTCTTATTGAACATGCATTACTTGTGTAACCCCTGGTTAAAGGGGTGAGGGGCGCAGCAATGAAGAGAAGACAGCACCTGAACTTGCCGCTTGATGAGCGCAGATCCCTTTATATCCCAGGGCGGCCTACAGGAGTCCTGCAGTGTGAGAAGTAATCCAGTGGGGGCAGGTCCAGCCTGCTCCTTTGACACTCAGGCTGGTGGCTGCTTGTGACCACAGAGATTATGGCAGGGCGCTTGGCTTAGAAGCCTTGCAAGAGTTCTCTTAGCGGCACAGGAAAGTGAAATGGGGACTCCGAGCAGAGGAAACAGCCTGCCTCAAGAACCTCAGTGGGGCCAGGTAGAGCACAGGGCCCTAGTGTGTAGGACATAAAGATTCGATCAGAAAGGTGGGCAGAGAATAGTTAATGAAGGGGCCTATCTTCTTTTTTTCTTCTTTTTTTTTTGTCCTAGAGAAACTATGGACATAATCCTATATAGTAAAAGGGTAATATGCAAATTGACCCTAACATCAGAAGGACTGGGAGTGACTGGTCACTATGACACACACTGACCACCAGGGGGCAGACGCTCAATGCAGGAGCTGCCCCCTGGTGGTCAGGGCGCTCTCACATGGGAAGCTCTGTTCAGCCACAAGCCAGGCTGATGGCTGCCAGTACAGCGGTGGTGGTGGGAGCCTCTCCTGCCTACTCAGCAGCGCTAAGGATGTCCGACTGCAGCTTAGGCCTGCTCCCCGCTGGCAAGTGGACATCCCCCAAGGGCTCCCAGGCTGCCAGAGGGATGTCTGACTGCCAGCTTAGGCCCAATACCCCGGGGAGCGGGCCTAAGCCAGCAGGTGGTCATTCCCCGAGGGGTCCCAGACTGCGAGAGGGCACAGGCCAGGCTGAGGGACCCTCTCGAGTGCACAAATTTTTGTGCACAAGGCCTCTAGTCTATAATAATAAAAGCGTAATATGCTAATTAGACTGGACGTCCTTCCAGATGAGCTTCAGGACAAAGCCAAGACTGCGAGGGAAGCCTGGGTTCCAGATGCCAGAGGGAAGCCGGTGCCAGCAGCTGGGCGAAGGAAGGCCTACTCTTGCACAAATTTCATGCATCGGGCCTCTAGTTAAATATATAAAGGAATAGCATGATCTGACTTATCTTCTCGTACATTTGGTTTGGTTACAATCCAAAGGTGGGTTGGAGGGGAGAGAACCAGTAAGGATGGGACTATTACAGTTTATGTAGAAGATCTAAGGGCCTGAGCTAAGGCAATGACAGTGCAGATAGAAAGGAGGGGGCAGATCCTAAGAAACACTTTGTAAAACTAATCCTCAGGAGTTAGTGACAGGGTCATGCCTAGGATGCTTTTTTTTTTTTTTTTTTTTTTTTTAAAAAAAAGTTTTTTTTAAAACCGCTCTATTGAAATAGAAGTGCCATATAACTGTGTGAGTTTAAGGTGTACAGTGTGATGATTTGTCTCTTTTTTTCCCCCCTCAGGTGTCAGTAAAAAATATAGAAACTACAGATGGAGGGGGATTGTGGAGGAGAGAGTCAGAGGAAACGCAGGGCAAGAGAGTGCAGTTTGGGACAGGTTGAATTTTGTTGCCTATTGGAAATGGCCAATTGATTTGTGTATTTATTCCTCCACCTATCCTGAAAAGCTTTAAGTGATAAAATGTTCAATGTAGCACTCAGGGGGTCAGGGCTAACAGTTGAAGATAGTAGAAGTGAGTGAGAGCAGTGGTGTCCTGAAAGCCAAGAAAAGAAAGTTACAAGAAACTTTTATGCCCCAAAGAAGTTGAACAAGATCTAAAAGGTGTTCATTAAATTCTTTAGTTAGGAGATGATTGCTGACCATACAGTTAGCAGTTTGGTAGAAGTGGTAGAGGCAGACGCCAAATTGCTTTAAGCCAGGTGGATGGGAGATGAGGAAGTAAAGAGAGTGAAGTTAGATTGTTCTTTCAAGAATTTAGAAAGGGAATGAGATACAGTGAAAGCTAGACAAGCATGGTCCAGGAGGGGCCTCGTTTTTTAGTACAGAGAAAACTTTCACATGTATGTAGGCTAATGGGAAGAGTCTGGAGCTATAAGAGAGGAAGGGGCTGTTGGTGGAGCAAGACTAAAGGAGCACAAAGGAGTGGAATCCAGTGTGGCAGTGAAGATGTGAGCCTTGGATTCGAGGAATGCCCTCTCTCTATGTTCCTCGGGGTTCTAACTCCAGTCCTCTTTTAACTTGACACATTCATTCACACACAGAGCACCTTTACTTTGATCACTCTCAGACCCACTTCCAAAGTAATCTCTCTCCACAGTTAGAGTGCCTAATAGAAGAACTAAATTCTTTCCCGATTCCTCCTCGTGTATTTCTAATCTTGTTGAGTAGCTCTACTGAGTCATTCAAGCTGGAAACTGGGAGTCGCCTTCAATTTTTCCTTCTTCTTCACCTTCACATTTGTTCTTTGTCACTAAGTTCGATTAGTTCTGTCTCCTGAATATGTCTTGAATCCATTTCCTTGTTTCTGAACCATGTTGTCATCTAGGCCCTCAATTCTTTTTTCTTTTTTTTTTTAATTTAAATCTTTATTGTTCAGATTATTACATTTGTTCCTCTTTTTTCCCCCATAACTCCCCTCCTCCCAGTTCCCGCCCCACCCCCGCCCTCACTCCCCATCCACTGTCCTCATCCATAGGTGCACGATTTT